CAAATGCCATATGTCCTTAATACAAAAATCCTATGATAAATGCAGGGCTTTTGTGTCTTGGATTGGAGGCTGAATTCAAAATCACAGCGTTAACACTTTTGTATTTGAGTCTAATAAAATTAAGGTGATATTTTAATGCTGCCACAATAAAACCATAGAAGTTGGAGATTTTTCACTTGTTAGATTATCCCATCCATCCTTCTGCAAAAACAGGATTGTTCAGTAGTTTACAATCGTACAGTCTAGTTGTAACGACAATCAAGGCTAGTGATATGAATAATAAATAACATGCTCTTATACGTTGTACAAGAACACATATACCTATATATATCCCCTGCACAATTCAAAGTAGACATCATGCCATATTTCAGAGTCTCTTATTGGGTTAGTTCCTCCTATGATCTCTAAAATCTCATGTGGTGACAACATGCAGTTTTATTGTTCTAACACAAAAATTTGTACAAACTTTCTGAGACATTCTTAGAAACTGATCAGAATTCCCATGACCTTTGCTGGCCATTTGCAGCAGTCTTCTAGATTTCAGCCTGTTTGTGTGGTGGCTTTGCTAGAGCACAGCTCCAAATATAACCCTATTAATTAAATAATCATTTAATCTCTATCAACGTTTTAAATGTTGGATCTAAATTCTCTGACCAAAATCACAAATTTTATAGCTTGGCTGTTTATAAAATGAAGTCAGCTGCCTAAAAACAAGACAAATAAAACTCATATTGGGAAAAACGTGTAGGTATGGTTAAATGGTTGAGCTAACCCAAACATGGATTAGTCCCTGCCTCTCAGAGCAGTCACAGATGGCAATTATGCATTTAAAAGAGATTACTGATGATAGAAACTTACATATTGCCTGCTACATATAAACAGGAATCCCGGCCAATAACTTCCAGCAAGTGTCAGTTTGATATATCTCAAAATGACCCAGAAATGTGAATTTCTATTTAAAATATATAATGTAAATGTTAACTGGCTGTAGCTCCGTGATTCCTTTTTTTAAAACTAGGATTAAAATGAAATATGCCTCCAAGGCAGCTTCTCTAAATATTAATTCTAATGCACTTGATTTCTTCCTTCCCCAAGGTTGTCATTTGCACGAGGAGGAAATAATTGTCATCATATTAAGTATTCCCTCTCCCAGAGAAGTGTTGCTATAAGAGCCCTGAGAATCATGGGGGGATTAAGGATAAATGGGGTCCAGATCTACTAATATACTCACCACTTCCCTGGTCACCCACTCCTGCCTCCTCAGTGATGCTACCTAGACAAATCTTTAATCCTCCCAGACTCTTCTTCCCCAGTACTTGACTTGTGTTTTTCCACACAGATGCCTCTTTCCGCTGACCCTGCTTCCCCAGGACAGAGTCTCTTGCTTCCTGAATCTTATTAGCTTTCTGTTAGAGGCCTGAAGATCCCCTGTTTTTGTCTCCTGCTTTACACATCCTATCCTTGAATCCTAGGACTACAGCCCGTTATCCTTCCAGCCAAAGAACGTTGGACAGAGCCCCCTTTGAGGTAGTTAACGCTGTTCCTTGGGTGGCTGGAGGAATAACTTGAAGTGTATATGCTACATCTCCATCATCTACAACCCAGAAAGCAAGAGATGATGACCAGGAGGTAAAATGAGGTCTCCCTTGGGCTCCTTCATCAGGCTCCTTATGTTTTTAGAAGCCCACTATGCACACCTGCAAGCAGCAAGTCATACACTAATATATTGAGTGGAGCCCTTCTTAAGGCAAGAGTGCCATCTTGTGATAGGTATAGGAAAGAGAACGCAAAGCATCCTTGCCATTCATAGGATTATGCTCCTAGCATAAGAAGTTCCCTCCAAAGACATGTGTAATGGGAACACATTGTAGACCTGAGTCACCCTTGGGACTGAGGAGAAAACCATGCCTAAGGGAGCTGAAGGTAGTAGTGCACCACCACTGTCCTCCTCCTCCTCCAAGGGGAGTGATGCTCCGATTGTAGGACTGCAACCTCTCTTCTGGACAGACTTCCCACTCTCAGCCTGAAGTCTGGTGGTAGACATGAAGCCCTTCTGCTTTTCTGCCAAAAGACTGGCTTAAGCCAGAACCCCCCATTCAAACATCACTGAAGCTTTGAGTGTTCGGATAAAATGAGACCTAGCTGCAAACCCACCTTTGGTTTGTAAAACATCATGTGACCCACACACCTCCTGGATGTGGTGCTCTGTCCCATCTAGTGACACAGAGATCACTTAGAGAGAGACTAACAAGTCTGCTTAACAGCCATATGGCTTTTAGCTGAGGCAGTAGACGCTCATGCATTTAGCTCCAGAGGTCCCAGGTTTGATCCCGACGACCAGGGTCCACTGGCAAGGAGGTTTTGCTCAAGAAAACAGTCTCCTGGCTGGTCTTGGGTGTGTCGATTTGAGAGACAGAGAGAGACCTGGACTGGAACTATTTATCCAAGTCTCTCAAAGATAAACTAGCACCCAGCTCCAAACTATCCTGGCTTTGCTGCTGCCTTACTAAAGGCATAATTCTATTTAAGCTGATTTGTTAGAAATTATTTGTATTTATTGGTGGTGGGTTGTATTCTGAGTACCTCAAACTATTTTATTGTGTCTCGAATTCTAAGCAGATCCCCCCGCCCCGGTAAAAAAATTTCAACCAGGATTGTAAAGCAAAAGTAAGTACTAAGTGCATGTGATCATCTCTCTCCTCATGACTCTGTTAGTGACTACAGCAAATTAGTGCTCCTTTACTTCAGGGGGTAAAGGTCTGGTGGAGCTGCAGGTCCTGGTTTCAGGCCCTAGTGATGGACCATGGTGGTATCTGTATGTGCCTTGCTGCAGTTTTACACAGGAACACACTATCAATCTGGCCAGTGGAGATAAGAATACCAGACCAGCCTTAGCTTGCAGGGCCCAAGCAATAACTCACTTTGGGCCCAGGGCAGGAGGATATGGAAACATGGTCTTGAGTGCCTTTCATGGGAGGGGCAGAGGGGGAGATAATAGGGCTTTGTCAGGGCCGGATTTATATTCTAGGCACAGCATCTTCAGTGCCCCCCCCCCCAGCTGACCTTCATGTTTTCTATAAAAAATGAAACTTTTAACTCACTTTTAGGTGCCCCTAGAATGCCACTGCCCCTAGGCACATGCCTACTCAGCCTAATTGGAAATGCGACCTTCCGATTGCCAGAGGGTCGGAAAAGAGGTTGCCAAGGCTCGCCCAGGGCCCCCAGCCGCCTGTAGTTCCAACTGGCAGCTTCTGTGGAAGGCCAGCCTGAAGACAAGGATCCAAGATCAAAGTCAGTAGCAGCCTGGCCAGAGGTGTGTGCCTAGCCCTTTACAGACATGGAGAAGGCACGGTCCCTGCCCCTGCCCGGGGAGCCGTCGAGTGCCTCCCCCCCGCGGGAGGGCGGACCCCGGCCACGCCCAGCGCGTTCTCCGCCCACCCGGCTCTCCCTGCCCCGGGGAAGGGCAGAGGGGAGGCCCGGGCGCCCCTTTCCCGGGCGGAGCGCAGGCCGCACCCAGCAGGGCTCAGCGTGCGCGGAGCTCCCCGCACGGCGCGTCCTTTCGCTGCCGCTGCTGCGTGGCTGGGCGGAGCGGGAAATGCGGGCGGCTCCCTCCTGCCGCTGCCCGGCCCCCTGGCCCTGGCTGCTCGGGGTCTGCTGCGCCGGGATCCTGCTGGCCTCGGGGACCGCTGGAGCCGGGCCGAAGGGGCCGCTCCCTCCGCCCAGAGGTGCCGCTGGGAGCCGGGGGAGGCGGCCTGGGGGCTGCGGTGGGGGCCGGGATCTGTGCTGCGGGGTCCCAGGGGACTCCCCGGGCACGAGCGGGGCCCCGCTTCGTGCATCTGGGCCCCTCGCCCGCTGCTTATTTACCCCACAGCAGGTGGGACACTGAGGCCCGGGGGGGACTGGCCCTGGCTGCGGGAAGGGATGAACTGGGATGGCAACAGCCCGTGTTAATCCCAGTGTGGACAGGGCAGCTGTAGCGTTAACCCTCGCTGGTGGGTCAAGGGAAACTCCGGGCTCCCCGCAGGGTTTATCTTGCCCACTGTGCAGGTTAGAACTGCTTCGTCTTTACCAGGGCAGGGTTAAATACACCCGCTTCCTGGGGCAGGCGTTAAATTGCAGGGTTAAATACACCCGCTTCCTGGGGCAGGCATGGCCTTGGGGACTTGCCTAGGGCTTCTGGCAGAGCCGGACAGTGAGCCCCCAGTCTGGAGTCCCAGGCTAGTGCCCTAACCTCTGGACCAGGTGACTACTTGCGGCCTGCCTGAGAGGTCTGTCTGTGCTGAGCTTCCCAGCTCGGGTGGGCAGGGCTCCTTACTAGTAGCTGCCTGGATGTTGTAGCACAGGTGGAGGCTCAGGCTAACCGCCTGAGGTCGGCCCTGGGGGTAGCCTGGGTCCAAGCTCGGGGGGCTATCCCAGTGCCAACACGTCCACCGTGCTACCACCAGCCCCATTAGCACAAATCCAGGCTGGGAGGCTGACTCCCAGCTGCAGTGTAGACTTACCAGTCAGGCTTGCCACTGTCCTCTTTGGCTGATCTATCTTTCTTTAAGCAGTAATACTACTCTGAGCAGGGCTGGATAACATGGTGACGTCTTAATTTTGCTTGTGCAAAAGCGATGGTAGGGTGTGAAACCCAGAGGCAAGCAAAATGTCTACTGGAAAATCTTTGCACTTGCTTAAATTGTGACCCTTTCCCTTTTATTTTGTAGGTTATTTCAAGAAGCCGTTTATAAAGGTGCTCTCCATTGCCTTAAATATTATTAATTATGTTTATTGTGGTAGTTCCTGGGGGCCAGTTGAGAATGGGACCTTTGGATTCTTAAACAAGTTTTTGATGTTAATCTTTTTAACTATTGTTTCTTATAGGGATGTCCGAGGCTCCTCTTGATGTTTTTAGTAGGGCTGGGGAGGTATAGAGAAGTTCCAATAGGTTTGCAGTTCTCAGATTAGCTTGTACTCATTGGTGGTAAAATAAATGTCATGTAACTCCCTCTTTGTAGATGGCATGAACGTTCTCTTCATAGTAGCGGATGATCTGCGTCCCGCTTTGGGCTGTTATGGAGACAGCCTTGTAAAATCTCCAAACATTGACCAGCTTGCATCTCGAAGCGTTGTGTTCCAGAACGCCTATGCTCAAGTAAGTAACAAAACTTAATTTAAAAATAGCAGTTGTATTTCTGTAAAATAGTTAATGGTTTGGGCACAGAAAGTGTGGGGAGACCATTGAAACAGCCAGTTGCTGTATTTTAAAATATTTCATGTAGTAAAAGGACAACTGGGCTAAACTGTATTGTGTGTTTATCTTTGCTGCAATGAGGAAAGGACCGCAATGAAGACAATTGTCATTGATATTAGCAATAATGGTGTGGTACTCTATTGTGTATCAGCTTGTGAGTTTCACTATTTACAAAACCCTATTAAAAAAAAAAAAAGCCATTTTGCACAATACCAATTCTGTGCTTTCTACCCTAGATGTAGTCTTGTAAAAGCTTATTCTACATTTACCCTCCCCTCCTTTTGTGAGCATGATATGTTTATTCCAAATCCCTTATATTGTCCAGATTATTCTTTGTAGGGGCAACTTCTAATCATCATTCTCAAGCTCAGGACTCTAAATCTTACTACTTTTCTTTTGCTGGGATGGCTGACTATCACGTCTGCATTCTCAGCCCTGCCTCCACCAAGAAGCCAGAAACCAGGGCCCTGAATCTGACTGGGGAGTTTGGGGATCTCAGTGGAGTTACTCTTGCCAATATGAAACAGAACATTCAGGCCTTTGGACTCTAACCTGGATCTCCCACTTGTCTGTTCTTTGCATTATTGCTAAGACTGCCCAGATCGCCTGCACTTGTCACTTAGTGTCAGCACAGTCCATCTGCCATTTTCATTCCAACTCTGTTACTAGTTTTCAAAAGCATGGTCTTTGTTTGATGTCACACAGTTTGTGTTACTAGCTGCAAAATCAAAGCTCTAGGCTCTTCTCAGGAGTCTGTTAGATTGAGATCCCAAGTGCAAGAAAATACACATGTAGCTTGACATCCGTTTGTGATGTGGGCGGTGAGCAAGAAGTGTCTGACTGATACCCAAAGTAATGATCCCAGACATCTCTGCTGGGAGCTATGTTAAACATTGTTAGTTGGATTCCACCAGCTCCTAAACATTTTGCCTAATGACACCAAAATCACTTGTTTGCACTTCAGATACAAACTGAATATACTCTACTTTCCATTAAGCATTAATTTTTCTGTCTCTTGCTTTAGCAAGCTGTGTGTGCTCCAAGCAGAGTGTCATTTCTAACTGGACGCAGGCCTGACACCACACGGCTTTATGATTTCCACTCCTACTGGAGAGTACATGCAGGAAACTATTCCACAATACCCCAGTACTTCAAGGAGAATGGCTACACGACCATGTCCGTAGGAAAAGTGTTTCACCCTGGTATGGCTTGTAACAACACTTAGAATCTTCGTTTAACATGTTACCACAAATGAATTGTGTAATTAGGGACAGGTTTTTTTCTTTCATATTAAATGACCTAAAATATTGTCATATGTCTGATGTAGAATAAAGTCCTTCTAGGTGGTCCTTGTCTTCGTATAAACCATTACATTTTATAGAGTTACGTTTAAAAGTGGGGCACTAACTGCACAGCATCATTCAACCATGGGAATCGATCTGCTGTAAATTTTCACATACCACTTAGGATGTTAATGTCGAGTATTTAGAATTTAGACACTGCTAAAGATGTACCTAGACCTTCTGTGTTCAGAAGACCAAGTGGTCTACAGATGTCAGTCAGGGGAACTTTGCGTAGAAAAGCCACGGAAGTAGCCATCAATCTAGTGGAGTGAGTTCTGATGTCTGCCGGAGGCGTAACTTTCCATATCTGGTAACAGAATCGGATACAGTCAGAAATCCATTTTGCAAGTCTCTGGGTCGAAATAGGTGTCCCTCTGGATCGCTCCGTGACGGAGACAAAGAGTCTAGAAGAATTCCTAAAGGGCTTGGTTCTATCCAAATAGAAGGACAAAGTCCTGTGTATGTCTAGGGTATGCATCGTGGATTCAAGAGTTCGCATGTGGTTTAGGAAAGAAGGTCAGCAGGTGTATCGGTTCATTGATGTGGAATGATGAATGGACCTTTGGAAGAAATTTGGGGTGCAATTGGTGGGTCTGCCATGAGAGCTGCTATTTATCCTGCCTGTCTGGCAGAAGTGATTGCCACTAAGAATGCTGTTTTCATAGTGCATGATCATTCTCTGTCTGTCCCAGTTAAGCTGCATAGAAAATGAGTTCGCTATTTAAACAACAGTAAAGAGTTAAAAATACTATATGTGTGAATAAGAATGGCCATAATGGGTCAGACCAAAGGTTCATCTAGCCCAGTATCCTGTCTTCTGAAGTGGCCAGTGCCAGGTGCCCCATAGGGAATGAACAGAACAGGCAATCAAGTGTTCCATTTCTGTTGCCCATTCCCAGCTTCTGGCAAAACAAGATTTTTCTGTGATAGTCCTCTGTTGAAACTTGTTACCATTAAATTGTTTGTTGGATGTGTAGAATTTTAATGATTCTTAGTTTTACTAACAATTTATATACACCTATAAATACTGTCATTAGTCCTAATTATTTTGTACTCGGAGCTAAACTTGCTCAAGATGCTTGAGGTTTCCCTTTCCTCATAGCCAGCTGTGTTTTAAGTACTGGTAGCTAGAGTAAATGTTTCATCCTTTAGTTCTTGAATGCTTTCTTAGTCCGCTGAATTAGCTCATAAAATTAGTGGAACAGTTTCTGTGTTAACAAAACAAGTTAACCATGTGTATCTTGTAGCTGAACTGTTCCTAGTTGAGTGATCTATAAGACCATTTCTAATATTTGCTTTGCTTATTCCTCCTTTCCAGGGATTTCATCCAATCATAGTGATGACTATCCGTATAGTTGGTCCCTTCCACCTTTTCATCCCTCTGCTGAAAAATATGAAAACAGTAAGGTAAGCAGGCAGTTTGATTGCAGGTGGACCCAAATAAAGATGTGTGGAGAGTGTTTCAGGATATAAATATATTACTACTGTCAGGTACAAGCTCTTGCTAATCTGAGTCAAATGTGTTAATTGGGAAGATACATTTCTCTGATTCTGTAACCTAGTGGGTTAGAACTGTGGAGGAAAATCACTAGTCAAATACACTTCTCTTCACCTCCCTACCAAAAAGACGTGTCTCTTTGTACTGAAGAATGGTTATGCTCATTAAGAGCCCGATCCTGCAAATGCTTGTGCTTGTGAGTAGTTCTCTTGAACTTGGTGGGATTACTGACACGTGTAAGTGCTTGCGAGACTGGGGGCCTTAATTTGTATTGAGAGCACTAAATCCTTTATCTCTAAACTGTAGCTATCATCTCTTGCAAATTACCTCAGCCTCTTCTCTAGGTGGTAAAGTGCTGTCAGCTGGCTTGGCTGAATTTGAACCAACCCTACGCAATAAGGGTCCCAAAAGCCACTTGAGTACAGAACTGCTTAATGCATCTTTTAGTTTAGTAGATGGAGACCATTTAAAACCTGCTTAAGGAGCCAGCAAGCCACCAGCTGCACAACAATGTGGGTTCTGTTGATACTGCCAGTGGGTTTCAGATGGCATTTGTTTGTTTAGGCACAAACTGTGGCCCATGGCGTAAGGATAACCTCTGTGCTTGATCCTGGACCTTTGCGCATCCCAAATTAATTTGTGCTAAATTACAAAACTTGACCCTGCAAAGAGGGGATTAAGACAGCCATGTTTCGACAAGCCATCTAAAATCAGAGTTTCCTGTCTTCTTCAACTTTCCAGAATGTTAGATACAACAAGTGTGGTCCAAAGGAATTAATGTAACATTTTTGTAAGTACTGCGCTATATCTACACTACAAGCTTTAGCTACGCTGCTGTAGCATTGTAGTGTAGATGCTTCCTGTGTCAATGCTTCCTTTGACGTAGTTAATCCACCTCTCGGTGAGGGGTGGCTAGAATTGTTCCATCGACCTAGCTACATCTATGCTGGTGGTTAGATAGAGCTATCTGCAGAATTCAGGGCATGACATTTTTCACATTAATTAGGTCAGTTAATTTTTAAGATCATGCCTTAGTCAAGCACTTAGTCAACAGTTACTGTGCAATCACAGTATTTAATAGACTGGAGTAGTAAGGACTTCCTAGGTAATACAAAATTCAGCCTTGGTGTAAGTCGGTTGTGAGGTTAACTGTTGAAAAATACTGACTTCCGTGGCAACTAGTGTTTGCATCAGCCACTCATGTCTCTCAGCATACAGCATATGCTCCAAAGGCCCTGCTGAGGCCACCTTCTCTTCTCAATCCCTTACAACAGTCAGTGTTTCTCTAGTGACTAAATATCAGCCACTGTTGGCACATACCCAGAAACTAGTGGGTCAGGTAATTGTTTCCAAGATAGCTTTCCATGAGTCCTCGGAGTCAGAGGGAGCAAAAGGGCAGATTGATCACGTAACCAATTTCTAACCACTCACCAATGAGCCACAGAGCCATGGTTTCCTGGGTTCTAGAGCTTGGCATCCTGCATGTGACTGTCACACCCTCAAGCCAACTGTAGAGCTAGGATTCTGCTGCTTATTGGACGCAAACAAAAGTTGCCTGTTTGTTTGGTGTGTAGCTGAGCTCAGGAAAATGGCACTGTTTTTTCCTCTGTGGTTTTGATCACCTTACCTAGAACATGGCAAAGCTTTTCTAGCACTAACACTAGCCACTAATTTCCTGATCAGACTTTAATCTGCCGTCCTGTGTGGTGGGCAGAGTGATCCCCCTGAGTAGAGTCAGACATGAATTACTCTTGAAGCTTATGGGATGTGTGTGTTCTTGGTTTGATTAAATTAAAGTAGATATTTCTTCTTTGTTTTCCTGAAGACTTGCAAAGGAAAAGATGGAGAGCTTCATGCCAACTTGGTTTGCCCAGTCGATGTGGCAGAAGTGCCCTTGGGTACCTTGCCAGATATACAGAGCACTGAAGAGGCCAGACGCTTATTGAACATCATGAAAATAAAGAAGCGTAAATTCTTCCTGGCTGTTGGTTATCACAAACCACACATCCCTCTGAGGTATCCTCAGGTAAGGAAGGCTGGAGTAAAACCATCTCACTGGGAAACCTCGACCAAAGTTATTCAATGATCAACATTAATCTTTTAAAAGTTACTTTCACAAGTATCTTATAATGTTATTGTAAACCAAGATGAAAAATATCCTTGCATTGAAAGGCTGAGACACACTCGTAGCAGCTGTCACAGAAAAGTAACTCCGAGTCAAAATATATATTCTTTTTAAATGTTTTAATCTCATCAGTATGTTCACAGAGCATTAAGTGCTGGACGAAAAGCCCATCCTTACTCAGTTAGTACCTGCTGAACATTATTGTGACTACTTGTGCAGAGAGGTATACTCTGTCTGAGGGTGGCAGAATGAGGCCCTAAATGATTTGCATCCTGATCTTCCTCCCCATTTATGTCAATGGCAAAAGTTCCACTGAGTTCCAAAGGAGCAGGGTCCTGTGTTTTTGAGAAGACTTCACTTCTTGACACATGCTGTAGGTCTCTACCATATCTGAGATGAGTAGTAGAGTAGTCTGTGACATGAACCAAAGAACATGTAGGTGCCATACACAAGAACTTGGTACAACGTTATCTCCTGCAAGTCTCCTGAATAGATGCTCTCTGCTAAAAGCACAAAGTAGGTTGGTGCTTGCCAAAATACCTTAACCAGCTACCACTGAGTACCCTTTACATTGGGAAACTTAAAGGTGAACTGAATGTGGTGGTGGGGTGGAGGGGCACAGAAGGGGAAGTGGTTGCCGCTTTGTGATGTGTAAAGAAGGCTTTGAAGGGGAAGGGGGAACTTTATGCTCTTTTTTTTTTTTTTAACCTTTGAAATATCAGATCTTGTTTTGCTGGAGGTCTTATGGATTCTGAGCTTCCTCCTCCCTTAATTGATAGGCAAAGGGTTGAATCTTTAACGAAGGTGTCCTTTTTACTAACTTTTTCTCGGGCATTCTGAGTTACGGAATATTAGCAAAACCAGCGTTTTAAACAGTGGAGTAAAAATCACTACCTCCCCCTTTAACTAATGGGGTTTCATGGGCATGGTAAATCTGCCATGATCCAACAATTCTGTGGGCATCTGTAGCCTTCCAAGAAAAGCAGGAGAGACAAGACCTGAATGTCTAAAGTAAGCAAGTTAAGTCAACAAGCAGCCACTCCTTGGCGGGATAAGCCTTTCATGCTTTTAAAAATAAACCCTAAAGAAGCTAGAAGAGTTGCAAATCCTTGGTTTTTCTTTGCTCTGTTTTTCAGTTGATTCTCAGGGCTCTAAATGAATGCTGTGCTGTGGGGACGCCATATAGGCAAAATAAAGGTGGACGCTTGGTTATGGAAACCATAGGGAAAGAAGGATTGACACACAACATTTCAGTAATCCTGAGAACATTACATGACAGCAGTACAGTCTGTACCGTAAACACCTGAGTTGCTGTTTGAAGTTTCAAGGTGTCCTTCACAGAAAATGGATAAGAAATCCTACTTTATAACTGCAAACCTTAGTCTTGCTGTACCGAAATCTTAATATGTGTTTGTGTTGTATTGTGAAGGAATTTCTCAAGCTGTACCCGCTGGAAAACATCACCCTAGCCCCAGACCCTCGGGTACCTGAAGAACTGCCTGCTGTCGCATACAATCCCTGGATGGATATCCGACAAAGGGAGGACGTCCAGGCGTTAAACGTCAGCTTCCCTTATGGACCAATTCCAGAAGACTTCCAGGTAAGCAGCCTAAGTGTTGCTTTGAAATCAGACTTCCCTAGATCACAGTTAAGTGCAAGGTAGCACAAGACTGCTGTTATTAATGTTTCAAAGCACGGCCAGCACTTGACACCCTGGGGAGCTCGCATGCCCTGCCTCACAGCTACCAGGCCAGCCTTTGTTGTAACTGAGTCGTGAGTTGGGTCAGACTAGCAGGGGGTAGGCTGAGGGTGAGTGTGCATGACCGCGTGTAATATTCCTGCTCCCACTCTTGTTTCTGGGCTGCGAGTGCTGCAGGGGAGGTGTGTTCAGACCCTAACAAGAATGTTGGCACCATCCCAGAGCAATCCATCTGCCTTTACTAGCCCTTCCTCTTTAAGGACCTCGGTTAGCCTTCCTTCTGGGAAGACGCTGACTCCCGTGGGGCATTGCCGGGGCAACAGAGTGCTAGCTGGGGCTCCTAAAGGACAGCATTGACTGGCTCAGAGCTTCTTGCTTGAAAGAGCTTGTAGGAAATATTTGGAATTTCCTAGTTGTTCCCTCTGTTAAATTTAACTTGAGGCATGAATTATGTGCAGACAGTTGAAAATAAAGCTTTACAGTGAAAATGCTGCAAGCCCTTTTATTAGAGCAGAGCTAGCAAGTGTCCGTGCAATTGCAATGACTCTCCCTTTTTGGAAAAACTTGCAGCGGCAGATTCGTCAGAGCTATTTTGCAGCAGTTTCTTACCTGGATACGCAGGTTGGCCTGCTGCTGAATGCCTTGGATGATGTTGGGCTCTCGAATAACACAATTGTGATGTTTACTGCTGACCATGGTAAGCATTCAAATACTTCCGTGGCTATATGCAAACAACTCTCTTGTGTAAGTTAATCCTGCCACATAAATCCCTTTCACGTTTGCCCTATGCAGTTATGCCTTATGTACCTGGCTTGTTGGCCTCTAACATCTAACACATGCTTCCACGGTTGCAGAACTTATTTGTCCCTGCAGTCAGTTCTCTCCCTAATCATGCGGAGGGTTTGCTGTTGAGTGGTGAACCCTTCCACAGTTTAGTAGCCTGAACTTGCAGCAGTCTCAGCTCTTTGTGCCCCAGGGAGTGACTCTGGCTGGAAGAGTGCTGCCCTGGAGTAGCTCTCCCATCACACTTCGTAAAACCCCACCTGCTGAAGTGGGCAGCAGACTTCCTCATTAACTGATCAAATGCAATTTCTTTCACCTGTGCTTGCAGTTGCGAAATGTCTAAACCAACAACTTGGCAGTACAGCTACAATCCATGTGGCAGGGATCTGGCGCTCTCTAACGGATAGCGCTATGAATGCCACTTTAATTCAGGATGGGGCGGGGAATGCCTCAAATATTTAGGGAGATTGAGAGCTACTTAACTTTGTTCGAAACTTGCCACTACACCGCTCTAGGCAAGATGACCTATTCTAAGGCCCTTCCTTAGGAGAATACTTTAGCTTGCTTAACTAGTTAATGAGTTACAGAATAGAAGCATTAATAGTGTTTTTTGTATTAAAATCACTGGATTAGATATGCTTTCTTATATGCAGATGTGACTTGTGGTCATTCTTGTGTAGATTCAGTTCTTCTTTTTCCCTTGCCCTGTGTCACTAAACTGAGCTATAGTTCCAGGACCTCAGTTTGCTGAGCGATCACAAAATAGTATACCTCAAAATGCTGAACATTGATGTTGGTTCTTTTTTAGAGCCTGCTTCCCTTCCCCCATCAGGAAAGAGGGGCGCGGATGGCTCCTGTGCCATCTTAGAGGATTGGCGCATTGTTGGGCAAGATTCCAAAGAGTTTTGATCTCACCTTGTTTCCTTAGGGATGATTTGACAACCTGGCTCCAAGGGATGCTCAGTGACAGAGTAACATAGAGCTGGCAGCTATGTAAATATTATGTGAATGCTTCAAGGAACTGATCTGGAGATGCATATGTGCAAAATGACATACCCCAATTTCTCCTTCATGTTGCATTTTTAAGGCTTGAATGCTGGCTCTAATTGGGAAACGGGGGGAAGAGAGGAAGGAGTAGCTGCTAGTTGGTGAAAGAGCATCATGTTGCAAGATTTTGTTGGTTCTTTAAACAACTTCCACTTTAGAGAACTCTCTCAGTACGGTTAAACACCGATTGATATTTACTAGCTAAAATAAACTTAATAACTGAATAGTGCTTCAAGGACCATAGGTCTGGGGTCACTGCTGTTGGGAGTAGATGAATCTGGCGGCTTGGCTGTTCATAACAGAAATGATCACTAAGCTAGTAATCTAGTATTTTCTTTAAATGATGTTTTGTATCCTCTAGGATGGTCTCTGGGTGAACACGGAGAATGGGCGAAATACAGCAATTTTGATGTCGCTACCCGAGTGCCACTGATGTTCTATGTACCAGGGAAGACGTCTTCCTTTGCTCGTCCAGGAGAGAGAATCTTCCCCTACCTTGACCCCTTCACCCATATATCGGACTCTGTAGCGGCAGGTACATTTTCATAAGCATTATCATAAGTTGCATAAGCATGTGCAATTGCAATCCCATATCTTAACCCAACGATTATGCTTGCCATCGGCATACAGGTCAGTGGAATTGAAGCTTCTTAGGAGCAGCTTCCTTTTGCTACCGGGGGCTAAGCCTAAGTGCTGGTGCCCTGGGGATAAAGGGTTTGCCCAGATTTCCAACCTGCGGTCCTGTACGGTATCGGACACACAGAGGTTGATGTCTATTCTCTCTCAGCTCAGTGATTAGGAAAGTCTGTGCAATCGTCAGTCCTCAGTGTGCCCTAAGTTCAGCATGTCCATGCTTTGTCGCCTACATACAGGAGGATGTATTGACAATATATGTCTGCAGCGGAAACCAATTTGGTACTTCTGTTTCCAAGTGTAGGACTGAGAGAGCAGTGGGAGTTGCTGCTCAAAATGTGTTTGCCCTGCAGATTTAAATAAAGCTTGTACAAATCTCTTCCATCTAGTGTTTGGTTCTGGCTAGTGCCGTCAGTCTCAGTCTTTGTGGCCGTGGTGCTCATGCAGAGCAAGACTTCAAATCATCTGTGAATACAAGCGCTTGCTTCAGCTAGATCTTCGTTAATGGAAATAGCTACAGGGCTGCATTAACTAAATGGAAGCTTTATTTTTATGTTGGTTAGAGGCCTAAAGGAAACCTTTGATAGTGGCTTGCGCTGTCATTGCAGCAGCAATTGGTGAACGCTTGCCTTGCAGTTGTGCTGATGTACACAGTGAGGGCACCCAAAAGCAATGTTTTGGCAGAACTTGCCACAATCAAGCAATTAACATGATGATTTCTTTATCTTTTTTGAAGAGCTCCTCCTCAAAGGAGCAGATAGTACTTCTCAAGGCACTGATTAGAACATCTGAGGAATAGAAGAGGGAAAAACTAGTATTCTCCTCCTGGTGTTAAGTTTGGTATAAACACCTACATGGACAGGTATCCTCCGAACTACAAGCCACACCTTCTTAAATGGCTCCAGCGTTGTTGCCCTATGAACTAAATGCAAAGTGCAACTGGTAAAGAGCCCCTCTGGTTACGCGTCTAAAAAGATCCGCCTGTATCTCGTGAGCCATGCTATTCTCTAACTTGTATTTTGACGCTTTTTCTAGGAAAAACCAAAAAAATGGTTGAACTTGTATCTCTCTTCTCAACGCTCGCGGAACTTGCAGGCCTGTGGGTTCCTCCCGTGTGCCCTGAGCCTTCATTTCATGTTGCGCTCTGCACCCAGGGGCCTAGTATTGTCCAGTATTTTAACTCCACTGAAGAAGAGGATGACTATGACAATGACTATGACACTGAAGATGACCATGAGGAGCCTATAGCTTTCAGCCAGTATCCACGACCTGCAGACATTCCTGAATGGGACTCTGATAAACCAGAGCTGAAAGACATAAAAATAATGGGGTATTCCATGCGTACCGTTGACTATCGCTATACTTTGTGGGTTGGGTTTAATCCCAGTAACTTTAGTGCTAATTTGCAGGATGTCCATGCAGGAGAGCTGTACATGGTAGGAAGTGATCCCAGTGAGGATCATAACATATATAACAGTACTCTGCATGGGAATCTTGTCAAAAAGTTTCTTAGGTTCTTGAGGTGTTAGGTCTGGGGATGCTCCCTGTGTGTGCACTCTTGTTGCTGAAGTAATATGACGTTTTCCTTTTTGTATAAACTTTGTTGTACACAAAGCACCTGGCTGAATTAAAATCCTGTTTATACAAAAATAGTAGCTTCTTTCATCTTGGTTTCGTCTTGTTACAATGCGCTGGGGGCTTTCACCTGGCAGATTTTAGATGAGTTGGAGCAACAAATAGCTTCCATGTGCATGCTTCTTAAAGGGCTGTGCAAAGGTGGACAAGTATATACTCAGGTACTTACGTGGTCCCTAACACTGCAGTATCGGATAGCTTCCGCAATGAAAAGGAAAAGCGTACTCCCTCTGCCGGATGGGGTAGCTTGAAAGGTAGCAGAGTGTATAACTTGCTTGTGTATATGCCAGTCTGCGGAGAGCGTATCATGTAAAACCTAAGTCAAAAATAGGTTTTGCAAGTAGTCTTGCCATTTTACTTACGGGGACACTGAAGTGTAGATGTGACGGGGTGTGCCAGGCCCTTGGAGGCACCCTGCTGGAGGCCTTGTGGTCCTACCACACCCCGCCCCAGAAAAGGAGCAGTGAAGGTGAGTCCTCCAGCTTGCCTAAAAAGTGAAGCAGCCATTCAGAGTGCAGCAGACCGAATTAAAAGGAGCTGCAGGGTTTGAGCAGGGCTGGGACTAGAAGGGCTAGGACAGAGGTATTCTCCAGGCAGGGAGGCCTGTTAGAGACCCTATGCAAACAGGGAACCCATCGACTATAACCATACAGTAACAGGTGAAGAGGATGGGACTGGGAAGCAGTCCAGTGAATGTAGCAGCAGCAGCTATTAAAGAAAGCAGCAGGTGGCTGCTACTTGTAGGGTCCCTGGGTTGGGACCCGGAGTTGTGGGCAGGCCCGGGTTCCCCCACCGGCCACTTGTGAAGTGGCCAAAGCTCTGAGAAGGGGACAAGTTTTGTTCTGGAGCTCAGAAAAGGGGCTAGAGTTTTAAACAGGCCCAGAGACTGGGCAGAAGATCCCAGAGAAGACCATCATTTGTTGGACTGTGTTACCCTGGCAGGGGTTCCTTCATATGTTTACACTATGCATAGCTTATCTGGAGAGTTGAGCCACTGAAGACCCACCTGATGAGGGCAACTGCCTATAGGGGGCACCATGAACAGAGAAAGCGAGAGGGCAGGTTTGCGCAACACCCCCGACAGGAGGTGCTCGTGAGAGATGAGTGTGCACCATCGTAACAGAGGTTAAGTGGCTTACCCAAGGACACAGTGGCAGTTGGGAGTTATGGGGTCTGATCCCACCAACTAAAAGGGGCAGTCAAGTGTATTTCACTCCAATTTAGCTTTTTTTAAAAGTAAACCTCTTTAATTTGCCTCTGTTAGCTATTTGAATTTCAAAACGTCTCCTTTTGAAAAAAGTTCATGAGACGTTTTAATGTAGTCTGGCTTGTTCCTTTTGTCCCTTTATAATATTTTGTTTCCTGGCAATATGAGTGTGTTTGTACACTGCTTTATATGAAGAGCTGAATGGCTTTCTCCCCGCCCCCAATTCTTTAATGACCATAGTAACTCCTGGGTAACCTTTTCAAAAGCTCCCCAGTCCAATTTTCAAAAGTGATGGAGGTGCCAAATCCTATTGACTTTCTTTTCAGTTTAGGCTCCTAAGGTATTCAGGGGCTTATGAAAATGTTATCCCTCGAAGAGTTCATTTTACTCTCTGTGCACGTACCTGGGTAAAAGTGTTTTTCAGCGTGACTTGCATAGTTTGGACGCTGTATTTCATCCTGCTGGTCAAGGGTCAGTTGTGGCAACTGCAGCTTCCTAGCTCCGACCTGGCTTTACTGCGCTTCTATAATTGCATCTCAGGGCAGCCTGAGCCTGCACCAGTGGCAGCATAACTGGTGAGGCTTTGATATAGGGATGTTGCCCTAGAATCATTCCATTGGGCAGGAGGAGGGCCACGGCCCTCTGGTGGATACTCTTTCAAAGGGCAACAGTGAGCTCTCAGAACATCCCTAGAGGGGTGGGGACATTCGTTTGGAGGCTCAGTATCTCTACACTGTTCCCTCTTCTCCTGAGCCAGTGCATCTCTCAAAGGTACGCCTTTCTGGCAGCTGTTCCAAAATGTCCCTAGGGAGTAGAATTGGACAAGCGCACCCATGTGCAAACTGCGTTCTGACCTCCCACAAGGAAGTCCTCACAGAGGAGGATAGGGCAGAGTACAGCCCAACCCCTTGCCCTCAGCTCTGCCTTCCCATGCCCCCACATCTGTAAAGCCTAAAATCAGGCAGGGAGCTTGCACGCAATGAGGGATGGGAGATGATGTCACATAGGCTCAACCACACTCCTCTTCATAGAAACTTCACCGTTTTCCCACCCCAGGGGATTTTCAAGAGGTTATGATCTGGCCTCACTGTCTCTTCCTCTTGATCTATTTATTTCTCTGTTCTTATTTATTTGTATTGTGGTAGCACCTGGGAACCCAAGTCATGGACCAGGACCCCATTGTGCTTAGTGCTGTACAGACAGAACAACAGCTCCTTGGGCAGATAAAGGCAATGGTGGTGTCTTAAGAGCTCCAATTGCATTGAGCCACAGGGTTAGCAGGGACTGCAAGGGTTATCTAGTCTAAACCCCGCCAGGATGCTGGATTTGTTGTGTCTAAACCATCCAAGACAGACGGCTATCCAGCCTTCTTTTGAAAACCTCCAGTGAAGGAGTTTCCGCGCCCTCCCTAGGTGTCTGTTCCATTACCCTGTTCTTACAGTGAGGGAGTTTTTCCTGAGATTTAATCTAAATCCAGGCATTGCTGCCATGTTCAAAATCCTCCTCTGACAAAGGCCTCAAGAAGCATTAGCCCAATGACTTACTGACTATTTTTTGTTCTAAACGGAGTCTCCTTCCCATTCTGTACACTCACACACTGCAAACTGCCTAAGGCAGCAGCGTTGTCAAGGTGCTGTCAACACTTTCCCAGGAAGTTCCCAGATCTCTGTCGCAGCCCCCTCAAAAACGAACCGCTTCCAGGTTTAAAATGGGCAACGGCTGACACAATCATGGCCTGAGCTTTGCAGCTTTCTTCAAAGGAATTTTTGTGTTGTGCAGAGCAACACAAAGGGCCTTGAGCAGCAGCTGCCCTGGGTCAGACTGATAGGTACGTTCTCATACTGGCAACTGGAATGAGGTCTGTGGTATTGGGAACTTGTGTGTTTATTCCTCCGACAGACACTACTTCACTGTGAGTTGTGGCTAAATCTGTAACAGCCAAACGATGCATTTCAGACAGATTGTTAATGCAATGGCAGTAATTTGAATGATGTACTTCTGATAGGCAGCTCCGAAGCCGAGTCTGAACTTGTAAGATCCAGTTTAAATGTCAGGGTATCTGTTTTTATTCAACTGCTTCCTAGTGAATGAAGGACCATTATCAAAGGATCATGTCATGTTAGATCCTACCACCCTGACTCTGTGAGTTATCTTGTTTGATAACTACCGGCAGAAAAGTATCCGTCAACGTGAATAAGGCTGGCTCATGCTGTGTTGAAGTGGTGTGCCTCATAGATTAATTGATTTAATTTTGGGGGAGAATCCACAGCTATAACTTTATTTCACTGAAACTCTGGTGTGCTCACTCCTAATTATGTAGAAATACCACCATGAATTTGATTCTCCGCTAGAAGACAGCCGTTATTTAGTGCCTCAACAAAACACAATCTGAAGAATAACGTGATTTTATTAAACACTTATCAGTAGTAGTAATTTGCTGCATACTCTGCACAGCCTCTTCATAGCTGTTGTAGCTTCAGTCTCCTGTTCCTGAGGTAAAAATGTATTCTTTTCATGTATGCATGTGGACCTAGATTCTGTTCTGGTGTGCACTGAGCTGGCTGCACTGACTTCAGCAGAACTCGGCCAGTTTCCACTCGCTGAGGATCTGGGCTCCAAGGAGAAACAGTTTAGTGCAGAATGGTACCACCTTTGAGTTGTCTGCCTGAGCTGGGGGTTCTGTTCTTCTGCTAGCCCACCTTCACCAAAGCATTTTCCTGGAGCACTGGCGAGAGAGCTCAGGCAGGTAACTGAGGAGCAAGCTTCCAACTATGCCTTGAAAATGCGGTGTAGGCATTTTAACTGAGTGACCTCACCTGCTTCTCGTAATGGCCCAGCTTGCAAAACTTTTTCAATTCTCTTTAAAATGTCTCCTCCACAGCATCAAACCAAGAGTGGCTGTTAATCAATTTCACAAATGTAATCTCATTATTGATGGGAAACCTAGTTTAGGGAAAACTACCATCTGATTGGCATTGCCGGAGGTGTTCATCCAAAGCTTCTGTTACTGAGGAAGGTTGGGAGAGGGCTGTTAGATGAATCCTGGTTGACCTTAAAAGAAATTTACATTGCTGCTTAAAAATCCCACCCAAGTAACATCCTCCATTAGCTGCTGCCCCTTTCCTTTTCCCTGCAGGCAGCACTTCTGGCCCTTCCGGCTACAGGGAAGGAAGCCCTTTGTGGAAAGAGTAACTGCACGGGTTCAGGAAATTTTACTGCTGACCGGGAAGAGGTTGTATGACATCTCCCTGCTCCACACATGAGCTCTCTTCCTCCAGACCCCCACCCATGAAATCTAGGCTGAGAGTGACTGTGGTGGTTTGGGCCCTTGCCTCCCCTTCTCATTAAGGTGCGGAGGAGACTGCGGTCTGAAGTAGCTAACTTTGCCGAGGGGTCTGAAGTGAGGAGCAGCTCCTATCCTGGAGCCTAGCAGGGCAAATCAGCTGCTCTGGCATCCCCTACAGTAGCCATCATACCTGCCAACTACTCTTCCAATCCCCATCTGCCCCTAGAAAGCAGAGCTGTTCCTTAGCTAGGCTTCCACTCTGGAGAGAGAGTCACACACTGGCCCCTCCTAAGGCTGATGTGGGGCAAGGTTGGTGGCTGGTAGATGGGGCAGCTCCTCTGAGCTGGGGGATGACAGCTGCTTCCCTCCATCCTTGTGTGTCACAAAGGAAGCTACTGGCCCAAATTGTCTTCTGCAGCTGTTCAGCCTAAAGGGATCTGCAGTGGTGTAAGCTGAGAAAGGAAAGGAGCGGTGGGTGTTTATAGACCGAGTCCTAGCACAGCACTCTGTCCCTCCAGCCTGGA